GCCAAAACCCGGGGGCCCGCCACAGCCTCAGCGTCTGCCACAGCCCTGGCCCAGCCAACCCAGCGCAACCCCTGCCTGACAGCCAGGAGTGTCTCAGGAGCCAGCGAAAGAACCTTCTGCAGAGAAAGGAGCAGGATGTGAGAGAGACAACTATGCAGACATGAAGATCAGTGAAGAGAAAGGAGAGGGAGGAGGTGCCGGAGCAGAGATTCCCCTGCAGCCCCTGGTGAAGACCATGGTGACACACGTTGCCCCCTGCGCAATCTATGGAATTGGATAGCTCGTGGAGATTTAACGGTGGAGCAGATACCACCCTGTAGCCCGTGGAGGACCCCACACTGCAAGAGGCAGCTGCACCAAAGGGATACCATGACTCTGTGGAAGAGACACACGCTGGAGCAGTTAGTGGAGAGCTGCAGTCTGTGTGAGGGACTCACGTTGGAGCAGTTTGAGAAGGACTCTCCTGTGAGAGGGACCCCAGGCTGGAGCTGGTAAAGACTGTGAGGAGCCCTCCCCTGAGGAGGAAGGAGCGGCAGAGACAGCATGTGATGGACTGACCGCAACCCCCATTCCCTGCCCCGCTGCACCACGGGGGGGAAGAAGGTAGAGAACCGGGAACAAAGCCTTTGGGCCTGAGAAGAAGGGAGGGGTGGGGGAGAGGTGCCTTTTTAAGATGTAGGTCTCTTTCTCATGATCTTGCTCTGTGTTTGATTGTTAACAAAAATTAAATCAGTTTTGTGTTTTCCCAAGTTGAGTTTGGTTTTTGCCCATGGCCTTAAGTGGTGAGTGAACCCTCCCTGTCCTTGCCTCAGCCCACGAGGCTTTTACCTTTTTGGTTTCCTCCTCATGCCGCTAGAGGGGAGGAGAGAGCAAGAGGCTGTGTGGTGGTTAGTTGCTGAGTGGCCTTAGAACCACAACAACGATTTATAAAGGTAAAGGAATAGAACAAAGAAGTTGCTGCATAAACAAATGGGAGCATTTGCTAATGCTGAAGTTTTATTGGTTGAATTTAGTTGAAAAGGTTGACTTGTTGTTATACCTTAAGTGTTATTTTCTTTGTGTGGAAACATGTGATTTGTTCAACACCTCCATATTCGAAGTTCCAGCAGTCCAGATATGGCTGGCCAGTAGTCATTTATTCTGTTTTATATGAATAGCTTGCAGATGAGTAGGTCAGTACAAAGAGGTTTTACTTAGTCACACTGACTTATTTCAGTCTTATGCCCTGCATCATATCGTAAAGTAAGAGAAGAAATAAGAAAATGTAATCTATGGCTGGGAAAGGCCAGTCGATCTTTTGCTTTTCTTGTTTGGCAGTAGACAATATCACTAATTTGGTCAGTGAATGTAGCATTGACCAGGGCAGCTCGTGCTTGAACCAAATGCTACCAATTTTCCTGTGGTTTTGGATTGCTCTGCCTTTAGCTCATGATTTCCAGGCTGAGCCGTGGAGGCAGAGAGGGAAGGTCACCGTGTCAGGAGTATGGAACCTGGTCCTGTGAGCCTTTCTCCTTGGTTTCCTAG